ATCGAGCAAAAGGTCATGCATTCTTCAGCAAGATAACCTTCAGCAATAGAGCCTTCTGGATGACTACGAGTGCGAACATAATTTTTTAAAGTGCATAAATACCTAACAAATAAAGTATTGTTAGTATATTTAAAGTAAATATTATAATTATTTATATAAAAATAATCTAACAGTACTTCTCAATAGGATACATTTAACGAAACTGCGGAGGTCCAGCAAGTTTAGTTTCTTCAGCTGAGTGAATAGGTAAATGCTCCATAACGTCAAAAAATGAAGGGGGGAATATTTTCTCGAATTCACACAGTGTTAATGCAATCCGATCTTCCAAAGATTCAAAGTCATTTGTGGTGTGAAATTTTGAGTAAAATTGCTGGAAAGTATCACTCAATTCAACTATGACGCTGCGAACATTTTTAGGCACTGATCTTCTTAAGGTAAGCGGTAACAATTGTTGCATCAATATGTGACAATCATGACTTTTCAAACCAGAGATATTCCGCTCATTCAAATTGACACATTTAGAGATATTTGAAGCATAACCATCAGGCACTTTCACATTCTTTAATACTTTTAAAAACACATCTTTCTCTTCTTTACTCATGGTAAAACAAGCAGGGGGCAAGTAAAACTTACTTCCTTTCCTACGAGGATGAAGTCCCTTTCTGATCCCATCCAAGCGAGAATTAACATTATCCTTTGTTTTACTTTTAACACCAAGCAAAGTCCACATGATATTTTCCAAAAAGTTTTTCTCAATATGCATAATATCAAGATAACGTAGGAGATTACATGTCCAGTAAGGTAACTTAAAAAATATGCTCAGCCTTTTCCAATCGTATCGATGTATTGAAGTGGACTCACGATGCTCTTTCACCCTCTTTCTTTTATTCCCCCCAATAGCTGGTAATGGCTTCCCAACTTGTTAACCATTCCATCTAACTGCTCCACAATTTCAGTGCCAGATAACCGGGCAGGTTTAGGGGCTTTCTCGGTGGATCCATTAAAATGAATCAAATCATTGCGGTACTTGTGACTAACATGAAGAAATCGACGATGACCAACATAACAATGTTTGTACTCATTGTTCAACCAATGAGACTTAGGTACTTATTGCAACAAGGGCATGCATATGCGCCCTTTGTACTCTAACCAGAAAGATTTTCATATGCTGGAAAGTCATTTATCATCCATAATAGTGCAGCACATAGTTGAAACATGCATTTTCGTTATGCATCATAAGTTGGAACCCCGGATCCCACAATTCTTGAAGTTCGTCAATAAGCGGCTGCAAATACACATTGATGTCATTTCTCGGAGCTCGAGGACCATCAATGAGTGTGGATAATATCATTGATGGTTGTTTCATACACATCCAATGGAGGAGATTGTATGGAACAAGCACAATAGGCCAAGTGCTATAAGGATTGCTCATTGACTTGAATGGATTAAACCCATAAGCAACTAGTCCAAGTCGAACAAAAGCAAAGTACTATCGCTCATACAAGCATGACCGAGCTTACTTGTTGTCCAATCGTCCATGCATAGTTGAAGAGGATCAATGGCCTACATTGACTAACTATTGGAGTTCTAAAGAGCAAGGGTTTGTTGATAGAGAGTAATCAATCTTTATTGATTTTATATTTCTTTAAGTAATTTTTGTAATAAACTTCAAATATGGTTGTTAGCAGAAAATTAGCAAGAGAAACATAAGGAGTCGAAAGGAATTAAAATTGCCACATAGACAAGGGAGGACGGATACATACAATCTTCAATACAAGGTAATAGTGCATTTGATTCCATATGTGTTGTATTATTTGTTGTCAATAGTCTCTTTTTAATTATTTTGTATTACTCATTATGCTTACTCCTTTTTATATTTTGTATTAGTTTTTAAAAGAGAAGGGGAAAACCCCAATCACGTTAGAGCTATTTATCCATTCAAGGGAAGGAAACAAAGGATGGCCACTTGATGAGTATACTTCCCAAAAGATAGTAAGTGTTCTTAAATCAAAGTACTTAAGTACTTATATATAGAATGTTGATTAGATTTTATATATTAAAACTTGTTCATGTTTTATTTAATTTTTTATTCATCATTATTCTTTTCCTACTTGAATTTTTCTCATTTTTTATTATAATTAAAAGACTAAGTACAATGCATCTGACTATGTGTATTTATTAACTTACTTCCCCATTTCATAATTAATGTTAGGCCACCTTGAATGAGTTGAAAGAAAATTTGCCAGACAAGTTGCAAGATGATATTGAGGCTAATGATAAGATTTCTGAGGATACCATAGCAAAAGAATCTCCAAGTTGCCTACGTAGCTTCAAAACTTCTTCAAAAAGCAAGGGAACCTTTGCCTCCCAAAAAAGCTGTCGATGAGAGAGTTCAAATAATTCAGAAAGATCTATAGATTAAAGTGCAAGAAGAGATAAATAAAAGTTTCTCAAATATGAAAGAGCATTGGATTGCCGAAATGAAAGTGATGATGCAAGATCAGTTTTCTAGTTTCGGCAGCCCCAACATAAGGGCAAGTGTTTTTTTTTCTTCTTCTTTTGGTAACAATGATTACTTCACGTTAAGCATAATATTATATGTATTGCATGAAACATTATACTTCATCTAGCCTTAGAATTTAAACTTTCGAACTATGATGTATAATCAGGTACAAGAGTCTTCAGATTCACATCGCCAACTTGCTTACAACGAATCACCACTAGGATTGGGACACTCGTCAAGTCTTGGTCAAGCAAACGAGTCTGCACAGGTAAATAAAAAGCTGGACAATGTTAATTTCAAACTTGATTTTATTCCTTAATAACATGTGTTTATGGAATAGATGAGCAAAGAAGCAAATAAATCTCAAAAAGAAAATCCTCGCAATTGTTCGGATGCTACTTCAACAAAGGTAATGTACACACTATTTTGGATTTTAGTCATCATTACACCATATTAGTAAGTCTATATGAGTTGATTTTGTTTGAAATTATTAGGAACGGAGGAAAACTAAAAAGATCTCAAAGCTCTTGGCCTAAGGATAAGGTACTTGTTATAGAAGAAGAAAATACTTTGTTTTAATTTACAATTTTGTGATACACATGGTGACATGAATCAATTAGTTTGTTCCCATGTTTCCTCTTTTCGTTAGATTTTGCAGGTATCAAAAGATGAAGATGTATCTTATGAATGTCAACTAGTCCATCTTATGTTTAAGAACTTTTTGTTGTGACGTTATGGATTTCTTTCATGTTGCGTTTGAGAACCTTTTGTAGTAACGTTATGGATTTTGTTCATCTTATGTTTAAGAACATTTTGTAGCTATGTTAAGGATTTCGATGTAAACTCATGTTTTTTTTCCCTGAAAAATATGTAAACTCATGGTTAACTTTAATTTAATATTTTCTGTTGTTATTTTCTATTTAAATTTAGCAATGATAATATGCATATATCTAATTAGTTGTATTTGTATTTCGTAAGTACATTGATTTAAATATACCATAAAAAAGACTTTAAACAAAAATACACACGACATAAATCAATAAATCAATTGACGCAATTTATGTCGCAATATACACGACAATAATTCATCCACAATGTGCCGCAAAAACGGGAAATATACGATGCCGCAAATTGGTAGCATTTTCTTATGCAGCACAAAAAACGGGTCGCAAAATAACTCGACGCAACATTTACCGCAATATCTAGGGCGACATTATATAAAATGACACCAAGTTGTGTCGCTAGTTGCCCACGTGAGTATAAAACTAATGACGCAAATAATGTCGTTAAGAATTATATGTCTTTGAGAAAACTACTACAATTTTACGTCGGAATAACTATGTGGCACTACAAATAGGTGACACTAAAAGTATCACGTCGAATCCGTACGTCATTATTTCAATTGACACAACCTAATGTCGCAATTCTACGGTGACATTGAAATAAATGACACTATTTGTGCTGCACATTTCATGCGGCATATTGAACATTGGCGCATGAGTGCCGCATGTGTTTGCATCACACATTGAATTTATCCCACCAAAATTTACGACATTATTTTTTGCGTCACTGCAAATTATGTGGCATTTTATGCCGCCAAGTGCTTTTCGCGGCATTTTTTGCCTTTTCCCGGCACAATTTATTTTGGTGATTGATCTACTTCAATATTTGCACGTCTAAGTTCTATATCATAACCCCATCCTGCCCCCCACCCACACACGCGCATGAAAAAATAAAAACACTCCAAAATCTTCATTTTTTTTAATGATAATTTTGCTTAAAAGGCAAACTCTTGGAACGAACATATATTCACATGCATGTTGTAGCTGAAGACATTAGAAGGTTTCCAAATCGAAGAACTAAATTATTAGCAAGTTGCAATCATCCTCGCATGCACACACAATTTATCCAACTTGAAAACATTTTGTTTGTGTGTTGTCAACTCCACCATTCCCAATAGAGAACTTAGAGGACCAGCCCCTGTTCCTTAATATTGAATGTGTAACTTCAACGCATCATCAATTAACAAAGCGTAAGTACATATCAATACAATCCATTCATGACTACATATAAACCCTCAACTTACAATGCAGGTCATTTAATTCCATCAATAAAAAATTAACAAAGGAGTTCTCTTGGAATTCATGAAAAAAGATGGTTTCCAAGAGCACCAAATTCAAAGGCTTTCTTCTTCTCATAATCCTTGGTCTTTTTACTCTAGTCACGGCATCATGTGAAGGCGGCAAGTGCAAGGATTTAGAGGCAAAACATGAAAAAAAACGTAATCTTACCCAAAATATCCACCACCTCCAAAACACAAACCTACAACACCACCACCTCCCAAACACAAATCTCCGCATTTCCCTCATAATACTTCATATCGGCCGCCGCCTCCTAAACACAAGTTTCCTCCGCCACCGCCTCCTAAACGAAAATCTTCCCCTCCACCCCCAGCTAAATATAAATCTCCACCACCACCATCACCAAAGAAGTTATATCATCCACCACCTCCAAGAACAAGCCCACCGCCACCTCCCCTTCCCGCGTCAACTCCACCACCTCCCACGCTAACTCCACCACCGCCACCAATCTTAACGCCGTCACCACCACCTCCCATGACATCTCCACCACCGCCACCACCACCTCCCACTACTCCACCACCGCCACCAATCTTAACTCCACCACCACCACCTCCCATGACAACTCCACCACCACCACCCATCTTAACTCCGCCACCACCACCACCTTTACCCACCTTAACGCCACCACAACCACCTCCCACGTCAACCCCACCGCCACCACCCATCTTAGCTTCCCCACCTCCTCCTACAGCAACTCCCCCGCCACCTTCTCCGCCACCTCCACCACCACCATCACCTCCTCCGCCACCTCCCCAGTCTAGCCCTCCACCTCCTCACATTCGTATGGCAAATTGTTCACAGGGTGTTCATGTATGTGCTGATTTTTTGAAAGATCCTGGGGCCGGGTTCGAAGCTGGTGAAAGTTGTTGCGCTGTTTTTACTGACCTCACCAACCTTCAATCTGCCGATTGTGTTTGCGATGCAATCCTATCCAAAGTACTTGATGCTTCTAGTATAGGATTTCCCATTAACGTTACTTTGGTTCTTAATCTTTGTGGCATAGAGGTCCCAAATGGGTATGAATGTCTTCCACCACTACCTCCACCGCCACCTCCTCCACCTCCGTCACCGCCACCGCATCCACCTAGCCCTGTAGGAAATTATTCAGTGGATGTTGAAGAATTTAGTGTTTGCGGTGGTATTTTGGAGGGGAATACAAGGGATGAAGATCAATGTTGCAGTCTTTTGGGAGGACTTTCCGGACTTCAAGCTGCCACTTGCCTCTGCGATGCCATTGAATTGAAAGTGTTTGATTGTCCAGACAGAACTAATATGGTTGCACTTGATGAGCTCCTTAAACTTTGTGGCTGGGACCTTGTCAACGGTTTCCAATGTGTCTAGCCTCTTGCCTACGTAGTACCCCCATGAAACTTTGTCCATATTTTTAGTAGGTGTGTGTGTGTGTGTGTGTGTGTATGTGTGCGCGCGTGTGTGTCTTTACGTAAAGGAGCATTCGACTGTAACTAATTAACTTAAGAGCCTTTGCCTTGGGAGATTTTGTGAATTGTGATGCTATATTTCCGAAGCCATGCAGATTCTTTGATCTCTGGAAGTTTCCTGCATTTGATCGGGTTTTTGACGCGTTTATTTTTCAGTATATTGATTTATTCACTTTTATTATTCTTTTTTCCCCTTAATTATGATTATTACTGATTTTTCTTGTTCATGCTCAGAATGGCCGATCGAAAATGCATGTCGACAGCGATTTAATGAGTTTGTGAAAAATTAACTACAGTTTGAAATTAGTGAAAGTAGTTTAAACGATTTCATGCTGAATCCACTAATTTAGATTATAATATAGGCGAATGTACTAGTTGAAACACATATTGCATTATGTATTCGTAGACGGATATAATTAATCCAAAAAAAAGTCGTTACTTGTATATGTATATAGCTATATATAATCTAATTAATTACATTGCAGGCGGACGGCAAGCTCTTATATATTTCAAACCTTCTATGTCATTTTTTTTTCCCACTGAAAAGAGCTAACGTGCGCATAAGACAGTCGGAATTGCTTTCGCCTAAATAGCTTAACAAGATAATTATTAAAAAATAAGGTAGGGTAACCGACTTCATTTGTAACGCCAAAACCTGAATCACGAGACATATATTGATGTTGCACTTTTCAAAACCCTAATTGTTGGATGGATGCTCCATGCCGGTTTGACATTTTATATACTTTTTCTATCTCGAAATATTTGTCCAATTTAAATTTTTATTTTTAATACAATATAATATAAATAAATGAAAGTCCACCAAACTGAATAATCATTTTCAAGCAAAGAATATTATGTTATTTGGTTCAAAGCCTAGCTAGTTAATATGTAAAAATTGGTAGTAATTTTTATCATCTTGTGGTATAACGTGTTCAATTCAAAGAAAAATTCCACTTATTTCCCAAAAAAAAAGCTCGAATGGAAAAAAAATGATTTTAAAAATTGGTGAAGAAGCCATGTACCTTAGACTAATCCATCTTAATTTCTAATAATCTAACTGTGCAAATTCATCAAGCTTACAATTATTTTCACCTTAAATTTGTCGCTTTTACAAGCCTCCCACACAAGTGAAACCTCATTTGTGTTTTTATGTATCAACTTCTTCAGGGCCCACAGGTCATAAATCGAATCAAATGGCGACTATGATCACCAAGTTGCAATAAGGTAGATTTGGAATATTTGCTTCATTTCTTTATATATATAATATATATATAATATATATATATATATAACTATAACTATAACTATGAACGAAGAACCAACCCTAATACATAAAAGACAAATAAATAAACATCACCATTCTCTCAATGGAATTTAATTCCTGAATCTCTAAAAAGTCTGACTTAGAACCTTTCCACCAAACTCAGATCACATCTCTAAATATTTATTTTAAACAATCATCTAGGAAATATTAATATTGCAGTACAACTTTGTTTTCTTAAGGGGGAGAAATGAACTGAGAAGCAATATTGTGACTGATCTATAGTTGATTTGTTGCATGTACGGCTGACTTCTAATAGAATATGCCGATTATACGCATCTCATTATGCCCTCATCCCGGATCTTATTTCACCAAAAAAGACAAAATGTTACTTTTATGTTTTTTTTTAAAAAAGAGTTTATATATAAAGATCTACATTCCAAAAAATAAAAAAAGGAAGAAAAAAAGCCTATGCACAAAAGACAAAATGTGACCGTTTTTACCTTTTATAAAAGTACCCTTTTATATTTCAAACTATTCTCATTGATCAGAAGTTGCGTTCTTAATCACCGAGTTGCACGGGATAAAATTAAACTCATTAGAGTTGGGTGCCTCCTTATTTTTCATCTAAAAAATTGATTAAAACAGTTTAGTTCGCAGAAAAGAAAAGGGAAAGAAAACACACAAAAAATTAAGACAAGAAAAATATGAAGATAAAGCCCTATTTTTATTCACTAGTTATTATTATTATTTGAGATAATTTCAATAAAGTCTACATGCAGTAAACTAGCAATCGAAATTGACCAATGTAAAAAAGCCTAATTTGATTGCATGTGAAGCTGAAAGTGGAGGTTGCAGGGTCTCAATCAATGAAGGAAGGAATTAGGATGTTGCAATCATCCCCAGAGGAAAAGAATTTATCAAAAAGAAACTAATTAAAAGCCTGCCAAAATAAAAAATGTGTGTTTACCTTTTGCGAGTTGGAAACTCCAATATATCTCAGTAGAAAAATTCTTCATTTATATCAATATAAAAGCAAACTTTCAATCGCAAAAGCAAAGCAACAACAATATTCTCTAGGAATTCATAAGATATCCAAAACACAAAATGAGTTCCAAGACCACTAAATTCATCATACCATTTTTTCTTCTCTTATTCTTCCTTGCTCTTTTTACTCAATCCAAAGCTTGTGATGATGGAAAATGTCCCAAATCAAAGCAAAAACATAATCATAAACACAAGCATTGGTCGAAATCTCCCCCGCCGCTTCCTAAACATAAATCTCCTCCGCCACCTCCTCCTAAAAAGTCGTATCCCCCGCCACCTCCTAAACATAAATCTCCACCTCCTCCTAAACCCACTCATCCTCCACCGCCTCCTAAACTCAAGTCTCCACCTCCGCCACCTAACTGCAAATCTCCCCCGCCACCTACCGAGACATCATATTCCCCACCACCTCCCGCGTGGAATCCCCCGCCACCTCCGATGGAAGCCCCACCGCCGCCGCCACCCACCTTAACTGCCCCACCGCCTCCTCCCCCCATAGAAACTTCACCACCGACGCCACCACCACCGCCTCCTAACCTGGTAGCGAATTGTTCAAAGGATGTTAACGAATTTAGTGTGTGTTCTGAATTTTTCAATGATTCCGGGGAAAGTGATGGAGGATGCTGCACTCATGTGGTGGGGCTTGTAGGGTTTCAAGCGATCGCGTGTTTCTGTAGTGCAATCCAGTTGAAAGTGATTATTGCTCCAAACACAACTAATTTTGATGCCATTGATGAGCTCCTCAAACATTGTGGCTGGGACATTACAAAAGATATCCAATGTGCCTAGCCCGCCTGCGAGCTGAATTCCATGGACGCTCCTCTAAAATAAGTGCTTTTTGTTTGTGCCGTGTGTTTTCCTTCAATTTTGTTTGGTTTTTCTTTTCTTTTTTTTTTTCCTTAATTAATAAATAATAAATGACCTTTTAAAACCTTTTACAGTTTTACTGTTTCCCTTGATCGGTAGTAATAATTACTGTTAAAAAAAGGGATTCTGATGATCAGTTCGCGCGTGCTCTCTCTCACACAAAATTGATAACAAGTATTAAAAAAAAAAAGAAAGAAAAGAAAAAGATAACTACTGAATTTCATGCAAGTTACGATACGTACTCCCTCCATTCCAAAATAAGTGTCATTTTAGCAAAATAGAGAAATTCCAAAATAAGTGTCGTTCTCACATTTCAATGCACTTTTTGTCAAAAATTTCCAAAATTACATTCAAAAAAGTTGATGCTATTGGTGGACAATTTTATAATGAGGTTGGTTGAGGATATTCAAGTAATTTTATTACCCTATTTAAGAGTTAATTAAACAATGTGCAAAGTGTAGGACGACACTTATTTTGGAATGGAGGGAGTATAATATAACCCGGAATGAACGTTACGGTGCATGCAATCAATCTTACGATGTTCCAACAAGTTGAATTACGAGCATAGTATAACGATTGAACTACATCGTCAAGGATCGTGGATTGAAAAACTTATTCCAATCGGGACAAAGGGTCACAATCTCATGAGGGTGAGCTATATAACCTTGGTGATAGCAAATAGTTGAACCTTTAACTACATCTTCATTAATTTCAATGAGCCTTTCAATTGATTTCACGCTGTATGACATCTGGGATTGAATAGTGATACTCCACTGTATTAATTTAATTCTATTAATAGTTCTATCTACATGGTACTCTAGTTACATCATCACTATATAAATTTATAGTTTTATTTAATTAAAAAAAATAGAACCCTCGTCAATTTCCTCATAAATAAAGAACAAAAGTGTATCATCCCGAGATCGGCAGCCGTGATTAGAAAATTCTCTTCCCTAGATCTAGGTAAGTTTCAATATTTAAAATAAAAAATTATCATTAATTAATAATTAAGTTTCCTTTTTTCATTATATGTATTGCACATATACTTATATATAATTGCACATTAGTTTATAAAATATTGCACGTAATTCGTGAATAATTAGTTGCACCATATTTTATTTCCTTTTATTTTTATAGTAAGTTAATAATAGATGTTTAGGCGTAGCACTTTTGAGAATGCAATTACACATTTAAGTAAAATATATTGAACGTTCACTTTTAAGCAATTGCATTATACTAAAACTTTCCATAATTTTTAATTAAAGTTTCTTATTTAATTTTTACATTAGAAAGAAGTCTACATGTGGTTGTGCATTTACTCATTAGAAATTACACTTATATTTATACATAATTGCACATTAGCTTAAAAAATATTGCACCATTTCTTATATAAGTTTTATTTAGTAATTTTATTTTTTATTTAAAAATTGTTTTATAAGCCTTACTGAGCGAGTATTAACGTATTATTTTGAACAATAGAATTTGTTTTGCAACTTTTTGAAAAATTTTTAGCATAATAATATATTTTTAAACATGACACGTTTGTGTGTACGTTATTTCACATATAATAAAATAGATTACCTCTAAACTATATTTTTGTGCATGGGAATATTAAGGTGATAACTAATCATTTTATTGTCCAGGGGAATGTTTAGCTACCTTTCTTATGATTTCCTTATCTTTATTTTTAATTTTTTGTATTATTTGCTCTAATACAAAGGAGAACTAAAATGATCGCTATGAAATCATAATCAGAAAAAGCAATGATGGGGATAGCGACTTATACAGTGTACGAGATAGTGACTAGTGAAAAAACAAATGTACTCCCAAAATAATAGGGGTGGGTGAATAAATACGTGCATGTTACGGTAGTTATTATCCCGTTTCATTATTTATTTTTACTGTATATATTATTTTCCAATAAGAAGAGATAGAATGTTTGAATTACCATTGATAGAGTGGTGTGATTTAAAAAAGTTAATCTATTATATTTATTATTTATCTCTACCATTATCCATCAATGGTAGAGCGGTGTGATGAATGTCTGAGATTTATTGCAAAAATTTGTGCCAATTATCTCTACCATTTATGTGTTAATGATAATGAAAAAATTGAAAAAATAAAAAAAGAAAGTACATTACTCACCTAGATTGAGCCTCTAAATAGGGGGATTATGCCATCTTATGCAACAATTCAAGATGTAAATACGGAAAATTAAACTCTCTTCATGAGTTATTGTTGGTAATTGCAAAAGAAAAAATCAAAAAGATATATGCACCTTTTGATTTATTTTTCAAATTTTTAAAATTTAAATTTCTTGAATATTATAGTATTCTTATTTATCTAAAATCACTTCATCTTCTTCCATTTCTTCTTATTCCAAAATCTCTAAGAATAAGAAGTTTTTGGAAGCAAAGAAGAAAATAGATTGGTTTCGTAAACTCAAAAACAACAACCAACAAATTAAGGTACATGATTCATTAAAACAAAATAAGTAATTTTTATCAATTTTTTTTGTCAAGAATATGAAATTGCAGCTGTACAAAAAAAGAATAAAAAAAAAGAACACCTAGCAAGAAAGAGGGGAAAAGAAAGATAGAGAAAGAGACTAGGAGAAGATTTCTAATAAAATTATATACCTTAAATAGTTACTTGTTGCGGGACTGTAACTCTACCCATAATTTCATTAATGATTATTAGAAATTGTCCGACACCAATTGAGAAATAAAGTTCGAAAATTCACTCCATGAGATTTGATATTTCAATTACATTTGAATTAAATTCGTAAAGTGGAATATAATTACTCTCTGGGATTCTCTATTATTTGGACTTTTGGAGCACTTCGTGTTTAACTGGATCCGACTTCCAAACCAGAAAATACTTTAATAAGCTGTTGGTGCGGTTGGCTCAAATTTTGGGCTGCTACCCCAATATTCTCCTCCTGAATCCCAGCTTTCTTTCCAGGCTCAAAACTCCTTAATATTTCCTCCAATTTACAGTCATACTTTCTTCTTTGCCAACATAATCTTTTCAATCCAATCCAAATCATCTATTTTATCCACTAAGAGAGGGATTCTAAGAGAGGGTAGAATTCAGGCATACCCAACGCAACCAAAATGCAGTTGCGGATGTTTTGACAAAATTTGATTTTTCATGTCTACAAGAGAATTATTTTTTATCTGCGCTTCCATCTTTAATTAAGGATAAACTAGAAGTTGATAGAGTAAGATCATCCCAAATCTGAAGGATGTTTTGTAACCCTTAAGCCTAATAGCTTCCTTCGTATATATAAAAAAAAATGCACATCATAGTCATACTTTTGTTATCGTTTTCGCTCTCTAAGGCTAACTCTTGATAACCGTTAACGGCCAATCCCGTGGAAGATTTAAAGTAGAAGTAATTTTCATGATGGACTTTATTGGAGCTTTAAAATTTTTGAATGCAATCAATGTATAAACCAATCACTGTCTATTTAAAAATAAATAATAAATCACTTAAAAGATAATGTAAACAATTTTTATCCTCCCATTTCAAATATGACCAATCTCTTACTGAACATCATTTTTTTTTTTTGAAAAAATCATAATTATTTAGAGGAAATCTCTTAATTATCTTTAGATTTTTGGTCAAGTTTCAGTGTAACCAAATCTTTTGATTTTTTTTAATCCTATGTCAAAAAATAAAATTGTTAATACATATGGTAACACCTAATGTTTCACGCAATTTAATTGGACTTCTCAATTTTGCGCCATTTCAGCCTTGTTCATCCTCTATTAATATATTCATATATATAAATTATTTTTTTGGGGATCTTTATACAATTACCTCTTTTATTTTTTTCCCTGCGAAAGCACTAATGGCCTCTAGGCCTAAAATGTGCAAACAATTCGATCAATGGTTTAAAATTGCAGCAGCCAGATTCCCTATAGATATTTGATTAATTGAAAAATAGTGTCAGCAAGATCTGAGGCCGGGGGAAATATCAGCGAAGTTAATTTTACAGATAATTATCTCTCTTTCTTGATCGCTATATACATATATACCAAGTGGTTATCAGAAACTTTGGGGTCCTTTTTTTTTTTTTTTTAAATGATTAGCATTAATTCATGACTACAACTTGACCTCATTGGCATTGCACCTACTTTATATATGATGGTTTCGATTATTCGTCTTTCACTGTACCAAAAAAAAAATTAAAAAAAATGTACCAAAAGAAATTATGGTTAGAACCGCCATATATAGACAAGACTTTTTCCCTTTGAATTTCAAACCGGCCGGGAACAAAGAAAATGTTATCCATAACTGAAAACAAACGTCCAGTAAATACTTGAATGATTCATAATCATGTGAACATATAACACAATTGGGTTTTCAAATGCCAACTTAATGTAACCATCCTCCTTGATTTTGGCTTATGACTACAACCAAAAAGGCGAAAAACTTGTAGCAGGCCGAGTACTAGTATATTATTTAGTTAAAAATAAGAACTACCAGCTAATTAAGCATTAATTCTATCTGAATTTCGAACATATTATAATTAAGTTACCACCATTCTGTCCCATCAATTTCAGACCCCCAAGTTAATTTGAAGCTTTGGGCAGTTACTTGGTTGCCAATGGATTCTTAGAAGCTATTTTATGGAGCATGATCTATGAAGAACATATCAATACTAGACAGTTATGGAGTTTGTGAAACTGTTTATTAACATTATAAACTGGAATGCTGCTGTTTCTGCTGATGAAGCAGTTGTTTTGAAGAAGAAGAAGAAGATTCAACAAACTTGTGGTTGATGATCATCATGATGCATGTTGAAATGAATTGAGATGGTGAGAGTGAGAAGAAATGCACATTGTCAAACAACTCGATCTGTGTCGAATCATAGCTGGTGGGTTTTTTTTTTTTTTTGTGACTTGATAAAGATTCTTTCCTTGAAGGAATTTGGAAAAGATTAGGATATGTTTCAGATCAGAGGACAAGACCCAATAAAAAAGAAAGAAAGAAAGAAATACCCGAAACAAACATTTTTTTTCTCTTTTTTTTTAGCATCCAACTGGGAAAGAAAATATAAGAAACTACTGAAAATGGTAATAGCCAGAAGATAAAAATGCTTATAGCTGGCAGCTCCAGTGCAAAGTCAATAACAGTAACATCCCATTGAATTTGGCCTTTAATTTTGAAACCCTAATAATTTCTTGCTGCAGGTTTGACATTCCCTGCAGGTTTAATTTTATATATTACGTTACTGGGCTTCCACGCCTTATTGATATATACAAAATAGGTAGGTAACTTGTCTCATTATCAACTGGGGGTAGAATAAACATGCTTAATTAAGCAATCAAATTATTTTCGCTGTTTTATAACCCCCAAAAAAAAAAAAAAACAATAAGTTTGCCAGTATATATGCGCCCCCCTAAGTCAATAACACTAACATCCCATTGAATTTGGCCTTTAATTTTGAAACCCTAATAATTGCTTGCTGCAGGTTTGACATTCCCTGCAGGTTTAATTTTATATATTACGTTACTGGGCTTCCACGCCTTATTGATATACAAAATAGGTAGGTAACTTGTCTCATTATCAACTGGGGGTAGAATAAACATGCTTAATTAAGCAATCAAATTATTTTCGCTGTTTTATAACCCAAAAAAAAAAAAAAAAAAAGTTTGCCAGTATATATGCGGCCCACTAAGTCAACTGATCGCTGAATCGAATCAATCATGATCGTGACAGAGACCAACTTGCAATTAGGTAACTTGCATTATTATAACTTGAATTTTTTTATTTTTATTTTTTTTTTAAAAAAGACAATGGAGTGATTGATCTAAAGTGATTAGTCGCACGTCTGAATTGTAATAGGGAATTAGGATTGCTTGGTTGTTCCATCTTTTGGCATTTGAATACCCGCATCTTATTGCACAAAATGTTACATATTTATGAAAATCAAAAGAAATAAAAAAGAAAAAGAGGAAGAAAAATATGAAAATAAAGGTCTGAAATATGGAACTTCTTTAAAGATGGTCATGCAGAACTGGAAACTAATCGATGTGTACTCACAAAAATGTTTAAAAAGGCATATGCACACATGCATGGAGAGCTGGCTGAGGAGGTTACCGGGTCAATCAATCGAGGAAGTTAGCTATTCGCAACTCGCAACATCCTGACAGAAAAAGAATTTATCCACAACAAAGTCTTCAGAATTAAATATAGTATGTGTTTGTGTAGTCAACTCCAAAAACACATTAGAAAAATAGAGATGTGTATATCTTGAACACCTAAATGACAACGTGCATATCAACCTCCGTATTGATCATCAATATAAAAGCCCTCACTTTGCTGAATATCTTACCATCCTAACCAAAGCAACAATACAGTCCCTTGGAATCCAGAGCTAAAATGGGTTCCAAGAACATTGTATTCTTAGCTTTTCTTCTTCTTCTATCCATAGTTATTTTAACTCAAGCCACGCCATGTGACGACGGAAAATGTTCAGAGTTAAAGCCAAAACATCATGATAAACATAATCATTGGCCGAGATCTTCCCCGCCACCACCTAAGATATCATATCCCCCGCCACCTCCTAAACATAAATCTCCTCCGCCACCTCCTAAAATGTCGTATCCTCCACCCCCTCCGAAACATAAATCTCCCCCGCCACCTCCTAAAATATCATACCCTCCGCCGCCTCCAAAACATAAATCTCCCCCACCACCTAAGATTACGCATCCCCCGCCCCCTCCAAAACATAAATCTCCCCCACCACCTAAGATTATGCATCCCCCGCCCCCTCCAAAACATAAATCTCCTCCACCACCTACGACTACATATCCCCCACCACCACCTAAAATCAAACCTCCCCCTCCTCCACCTAAACCAAAATCTCCACCACCACCTCCTAAACTCAAATCCCCTCCACCACCTAAATGTAGATCTCCCCCGCCACCTCCAAAGACATCATATCCTCCGCCACCTCCCACTCCTCCACCCCCACCCACAAAAACACCCCCGCCACCCCCAACTAAAACACCACCTCCACCTCCCACTAATTTAACTCCTCCACCACCACCTCCGACAACAACACCACCACCACCACCAACCTTTACTCCTCCACCCTCCCACAAAAACACCCCCGCCACCCCCAACTGAAACACCACCTCCACCTCCCACTAATTTGACTCCTCCACCACCACCACCAAAGACATCATATCCACCGCCACCTCCGACAACACCACCACCACCACCAACCTTAACTCCTCCACCCTCCCACCAAAACACCCCCGCCACCCCCAACTATAACACCACCTCCAGCTTCAACACCACCCCCGCCTCCCACCTCCACTCCACCACCTCCTTCTATCTCGGAAGGAACATGCCCATTGAATGTCCATAAATTTAGCGTATGTGCTGGTTTCTTTAAAGATCCTGGGAATGGGATAGGAAGTGGTGAACAATGTTGTTCTCTTCTTGATGGCCTTACAGACTCTGAAGCAGTCGATTGCCTCTGTGATGCCATAAAAAATCAAGTTTTCGATATTCCTAACTTAACGATCCCAGTTGATATTAATGTTGTCCTCAAAAATTGTAATAGGTCAAGTGGTTTTCAATGTTCATCAACCCCACCACCACCTCCAAAACAAATTCCTCCACCACCTCCTGTAGAAGATCATCCCCCACCACCTCCAGCTTCAACACCACCCCCGCCTCCCACCTCCACTCCACCACCTCCTTCTAGCTCGGAAGGAACATGCCCATTGAATGTCCATAAATTTAGCGTATGTGCTGGTTTCTTTAAAGATCCTGGGAATGGGATAGGAAGTGGTGAACAATGTTGTTCTCTTCTTGATGGCCTTACAGACTCTGAAGCAGTCGATTGCCTCTGTGATGCCATAAAAAATCAAGTTTTCGATACTCCTAACTTAACGATCCCAGTTGATATTAATGTTGTCCTCAAAAATTGTAATAGGTCAACTGGTTTTCAATGTTCATCAACCCCACCACCACCTCCAAAACAAACTCCTCCACCACCTCCTGTAGAAGATCATCCCCCACCACCTCCAACTTCAACACCACCCCCGCCTCCCACCTCCACTCCACCACCTCCTTCTAGCTCGGAAGGAACATGCCCATTGAATGTCCATAAATTTAGCGTATGTGCTGGTTTCTTTAAAGATCCTGGGAATGTGATAGGAAGTGGTGAACAATGTTGTTCTCTTCTTGATGGCCTTACAGACTCTGAAGCAGTCGATTGCCTCTGTGATGCCATAAAAAATCAAGTTTTCGATACTCCTAACTTAACGATCCCAGTTGATATTAATGTTGTCCTCAAAAATTGTAATAGGTCAACTGGTTTTCAATGTTCGTCAACCCCACCACCACCTCCAAAACAAACTCCTCCACCACCTCCGTAGAAGATCATCCCCACCACCTCCAACTTCAACACCACCCCGCCTCCCACCTCCACTCCACCACCTCCTTCTATCTCGGAAGGAACATGCCCATTGAATGTCCATAAATTTAGCGTATGTGCTGGTTTCTTTAAAGATCCTGGGAATGGGATAGGAAGTGGTGAACAATGTTGTTCTCTTCTTGATGGCCTTACGGACTCAAGCGATCGATTGCCTCGTGATGCCATAAAAAATCAAGTTTTCGATACTCCTAACTTAACGATCCCAGTTGATATTAATGTTGTCCTCAAAAATTGTAATAGGCCAACTGGTTTTCAATGTTCGTCAACCCCACCACCACCTCCAAAACAAACTCCTCCACCACCTCCTGTAGAAGATCATCCCCCACCACCTCCAACTTCAACACCACCCCCGCCTCCCACCTCCACTCCACCACCTCCTTCTAGCTCGGAAGGAACATGCCCATTGAATGTCCATAAATTTAGTGTATGTGCTGGTTTCTTTAAAGATCCTGGGAATGGGATAGGAAGTGGTGAACAATGTTGTTCTCTTCTTGATGGCCTTACAGACTCTGAAGCAGTCGATTGCCTCTGTGATGCCATAAAAAATCAAGTTTTCGATACTCCTAACTTAACGATCCCAGTTGATATTAATGTTGTCCTCGAAAATTGTAATAGGTCAACTGGTTTTCAATGTTCATCAACCCCACCACCACCTTCCATGAGCTCAACCCCGCCACCCCCTGATGGTACTGTAACCCTTTAATTTCACTGGATTTGGTGGATGCTGTTTGTTTTCAAGAAGAAACTAGAGCTCGGTTCAGAAGTTATCAATAACACCACTCCCATTTCGATAAACCACCTTCAATATTTAATGCTCAGTTTCAATCTCACGTATGATTATGTTTCCAATTTTTTTTAAATGTTATCTTGTGGTGAAGAACTCTAGTGTGATAGTTTAAAGTGAAATTTCTCATTGTGTGAACCCATTTCCAAACACATGAAGGTGTTTATTTTGGGTTAATATGGTTGTATCCTGAAGTGTATGTATCCATTATTATTCATCAGTTTGTATTATTTGAAGGCATTCTAATATGGATCAAATAATGTCATTTTCTTCTTAATTTTATTTAATGTGGCTTATTCCGAGTTGTACAGCCAGTCCAATCATTCAATTTCAATCCAATGTCAGGGGACATGTGTTCAGTTTTCTATTTTCTAATATGGATGACTTTTAGTTAACCTTTTTCGATCATTCAATAAAAACTTAGTAGGACGCGAGACGTGCATAGTTCTCTATTTTTTTTACATGGATGACTTTCAGCTAACTTAACTTCTTAATTAGAAGAATAGGGTATCCTCCTTGCTTCATACTCATATAAGTTAAAACATGCTCTACTTTGGCATTGACATTAGTGAAAAAATGATCTTTTACATTAGGGAACAAATCAACCAAAAAAAAAAGTAATTCAAATGAGCATGTTTGAGTTTGATATCTGTCCTGCAACCATTTTCTTCGTGAAATTGAAAATAAATTTTGAATATCATATATAAAATTCAATATAGAAAAATGTAAATAACTCAATTTTCCTGTAAGAAAAGGCTAAAAATCCAACATTTTAGAAATATAAAATACAATCTTGACTTCAGAGACTGCAACGAAATAATAAACATGCCGCAAATGATCAGTTATTCTAAGTTCTTGTTTCAATATATCAAATTGAGATTTAATTGATTCTTATCCACAGGACAACATCCATTGTCGAAAAGTCCAGCGACATTCTAGTTGAAACTGATAGATAAAAGAACACATAGTAATCAAAATATTTAGAGGTAATACCTTTAAAGTGACAAACAATGAAGATATGTTGCTACCACCTAATGTTCCAAAATTTCTTTCTACTTATCTAAGGCAGCGGTCAATACTATTTAAGGAAAAGACGACAATTATGTCACTACTTTATAATTAAGGAATGTCAATCCAGTTGTGTTTCATGCTCACAAGTCGGGTTCAACACGAATATATTTGGACTAATCCGAACACGACCTATTAAACTATACGGGTTAATTGTTTGAATCTGAATGTGATTTTATAATAACACAAATGACCTGGCATTGATAGAAAGTACCCAAAAATAATTATATATTTGCAATCAATCGATACATGTTTAGAAAAACACTAACATAATAACTTATAAATTTTTTGAGGGAAAAAGATAAGTGCTCTAAAATTAAATTTTAAATATCCATAACTTAAAGTTTAAACATCATCTACAAATATCAGATGCCTCGTTGATGGAGGTGGAAAATATAAAAACTTAGGGTCGATTTTAAGGATATTTTAATTATTTTAATTGGTTGAAATTAGGATTTCTTTTATGTTCGTCTTTTTTCTTAATTAAAGACATTAGCCGCCTCATTGTAATTCAGATGTTGAATATTATTAAAAATTAAGATTTTTCTCAAACCTAGTTCTTTTTTTTTCATTTGTTGGTGGCTGAATTAGCAGTCTAATTTCTTTTGGTCTGTTTTTTGGTGATTGAAATTAGAGTGTTAGGTTAACAGTGCTTCATTTGTTGTATAAAGACCGTCAACTAAGAGGCCTTGATTATTATTATTTGTTTAGGATTAACATTTAATCTTAATCAGAGTGATCTTTTCTTGCTAGACCATTTGTTAGAGGCTATTAAGAATTTGGTTACTAGTTCATGTGATTTTTAGTTGACTGGATAGCTTGGACTACATCAGTTATTATCAAACCTGAAAGGTCTTATACCATCGAAATCCTTTAGTTCTTTTGGTTAACCTGCTCGTTAAGGCTTGTTTCCATGATCTTGTTTTGTTTGGTCGATTCGATCTGTTAAATTTCATTGAGGTTTTATTTTTTATTGATTAAGTAAGCTATATTTGTGGACTTATTGGACGGATCAATTTGAGGGAGTTACTTCTGTTGTTTGGAGGCTCAAGTTTGATTTAATTAATCTATACAAATTTCTTACTGAAGTTGTTTGATTAAAATAAGGGGGTTTTCGTATTTTGCTTGGCCGGATGGAAATTGGGTGCATTATTGATCTATAAGTGAATTGGTTATTGTCCTTCAATGTTAATGGTTCAGTTTGTGGGTTCGTTTTGTTTTAGTTAAACTACCATAGATATATTTTATACTGATTCACTTTTGGTTTTATTTGTGCTGGTGGTGTGGCTAACTGAAGTTGAAAAAAGAATACCCAATATCTCAATTCACTTTTCGGCACCTGATACTGTTAATTGAGCGAAAATTATTGCTGTTGATGCAAACTTTTTCTTCATGATGGTTTTGACACATAATATGATACTAATGTATGAAGAATACAGAAACACCAATTTTTTTATGACATTTTTTGTCTTCCAGTAGACCATGATCCTAGGGCAAATATTGTTATTGACTGAAGCGTTTCACCGGTGTTTGATGTTTACCCGTATGATGATGATTGGTGTTGTTCCGCTTCTATAAAGTTTTTTGATGTTGATTTCCTACCTGGAGAAGCTGATTCCTCCACAGTTGTAGAGCCACGCTATTACTGTAGGCCTATGGATTCAGAGGTCCGACGGTTTTTGGCACAACATGCATAGGGGATTCTTTTAGTTTTAAAGGTATTTGTTCATTCAATGAGGTAATGGACTCTGTTTTGCATCTAGATCGCTTTAAAATTATGTAGTATGGAGAGAACATGGGTGATATTATTGGTTTCTGTCTTCAGAACGAGGGCAAAAAAATTGATTTTGGTTCCAGTACCACCACCGTACTTAGTCCTACTCCAGATCGTTTGGGAGTTACCCACCAAAATTTCCTAATCCATAAATCACCCATGGCGATTGGTTTTGCGTATTCAACCTATGCTTTTGGCTTTAACACTAAAGGCTTCTTTTTGCTGCAATTTGATCATCACAATCCAAATCCGACGCAACCTTTGCTTTTTTTTTGTGTCAGTTGATTTGGTTATCAACGGCGATATGGGATGTCTTGATAATTGATAGATGTTAAATTTGACCCATTTTAGCAAGCAATTCTCATTCCTGTTTACTTATAAACTAGTGTGAATTAAGTAAAATTAGTTTACTTTTATTTCTATTTTGCATTTCAGGGTGATCAGAGGGCCAATGTGGAAATTACTTGAAATATTGGGCAAAAAGGTTGAAAGAACAATAAGAAGGACCAGTTTTGAAGCTGCTGGAAATTAAGGATGAAAATGATCAATTAAGGAATGAAGGAAGCTGAATCCATGCTGCTAGAGGAAGGTTGCTGCGCTGCCATCACAAGTTGCTGATCCTTGCAAGTGGAAGCAGAGAAAGAGAAAGAAAATGAAGCTTAATTGAAGCCACTCTGCTGCTGCTGCTGATAAATAAATAATAAAAGAAAGAAAAGAAGAGGCTGCAGATTGATGGAAGAATTGGTGCTGCCGTAGCTGATTTCAAGCTAGGAAGAAAAGCAGAAGAAAGACGGCCAAATTGGAGGCTAGTGCTAAAGGAGAAGGAAGGACAGAACGATGAAGAGCTGAAGCTGCTGCTACTGAATAACTGATGTTGTTGATTTGCAACTACTGCGGATTGATTAATGGATTAAAGAAAGAAAAGAGGGGAGATTGGTGGCTGGAATTGGAGAAGATACGTTAGAGAAGAATACTAAGAAAAGAAGCCACGATTAGTGTGGCTGAAGAAGAAACAGACGACCAATCAGGGGGCAGCAACTTGGCATTGCTCAATAAACAACACCAAGAGCTGCAAGTTGATGACCTTTTTTGCTGAAGAAAGAAGAACATAAAAAGCAACAATCAACCAACTTCCAACCTCTATCAATAGGACAGCCAGGTGCAGATGAAAAACAACAGAGAGGGGAACATAGAATAGATTTAAGCAAAGTAGTTATAGTAATTAGAAAATAGAAACAAACAGATCGAGTGTTGCAGTAGAAGGTGGATACTGTCACTCAGGGAAGCAATGAGTTCACTTACCCGAGTCATCAGACAGAACCCTTGCTGCACAGTCCCTCTTGTTCTGTTTACTATCTTTTTGAGTTGTGTTTTGATGAATACTTTGTATTTTGTTGCTCCATGTTTAAGTCGATAAGAATGAGTAGCTAAACTTTTACTAGGGTCTAATCCCTACTATCTTTATGTGAATGTTTTGATTCAAGTTCTTATATGAATCATCTAGTTTTAGTGTTTTAATTAACCTTTTAGTTAAACTGGCCACTTAGCTAAGTGTGCTTGAATATTATGGAATTCTGAGAGGGTGAACATAATTTAGAACTGCTTAAACTAGTCTATGACAATGGGGATATTAACCCTGTGCTCCAATTGGCAATGAGAGTTAGTTGATTGACATGGGTGATCATTAGGCCTTAAGCTCTTAATAACTCAGTGTAATGGAAATTAACATAGAGATATAGTTAGTTTGATTATGCTGAGACTATTTGCTGGTACCAAAAGTGAATGTAGGGAATATGGGTGCATAATCAGACAAAGCTCATATGTGGAAAAAGAACTATAAAGATCATATAGATAGAAAGGAGGATGATCCTAGTTCTCTGCCACTCTGCAAAGTAATGTTCTCACTCCCCCACGTGACATCATGTTCTATTTCAGTTTCACACTTGCACTTTAATCAGATTTCAATGATTTTCTTGTCTGTCCCTATGAATTGACCCTGTTTACTACTTGCTACAAGTTTTGGGTAGATTAATTAATTGTTTGGTGGTCTCGACTGCCTCTACCAATACTCTCTTTT